GACCCGTTGGGCCCCATCACTTTGCCACAGTTACATCCCATGCCTGTCCCACGTGCCTGCTGAGTTTCTCTCTGTGAGCCCCTGGTGAAGCATATCTGCCATTTCAGAAACCATCTTGTTGTCTCAACTGGCAAATGCAGCAATAGCAGCTCCTTCTTACCTTTATCTTTTTTTCCTTCCTGCCATCCCTAGAGCCAAAGTATGTGAAGAGAAGTTGCGCTATGCTGCCTATAACTGCGTGGCCATTGACACAGATATGAGTCCATGGGAAGAGTGATGTTGCAGCCTGAACAAGCAGCATGGACAATTGTTCAAGAAAACCATGCAGTGGGAAGCATTCCCTTGTCCCCACGGGATGTGTATATATAATAAATACATAGGTGTGAAGCCTGGCTCCCAGCAGTTGACATGAAGGGTTGGGTCTTCAGCAGGGCGGGAGCTAGCTTGGATTATAAATGTGATTGTGGTGATGGAACCCTGGCTGAGTCCTCATGCATCAAAAAGCTGGTAGGCTTTTGCAATGAGTTTCTTTTCCATGTCTTCTTGTAGCTCCACAATGCTCACTCCTTCCAGGCTGCACTTTGCTCAAACAAAAGTGGGGTAAGGAGATAAAGCTGCACAGCAGCTTACAAGACAGAGAACTGTGAGCTGCTGCTGAGACTAGAGGGTGGCCAAGATGCTCAGTGTGTCCTGACCATACTCTGTTGCCTTGTTCCTGACATCACATGAGGTCAGTGGAAATGAGATCATTCATCTAGGATTGAGAAGAATGGGGCAGGCTGGTAGCAGGTGCTGCAGGGGTGCCTTTGGCCACCAGGTGTCATAATAGACCTGCACAGCAGGACTGGGTGATTCCAAAGGGACTCCCATGCTTTTACATCACATGAAATCTGAGTTCCTGTCATTCCTGGCACCTCTTACACAGCAGCGACTGCTGTGGAAGCTCCTTCCTCACAGTGAGTGGGAACTGTCTGCTTCCCTTTTGTTCTTTTAGTTCTGCATCCAGCATGCTGGTGGCCTGGCAGCTGTTCTCCCGGGCTCTTTGAGCCTCAGTTTACCCCTGAATGGCAGTATTACAACTAATCTATTCTAGTTCTCATGGAGATCTGCCATCAGGGCCAAGTTCATCTTCCAGACTGCAGAGGTTAAAGCAGTAGCAGGCATGGCAGTGCCAGACTCTGTTCCTTCCCCCCACCCCCCTCCATGGGAAGGGACATAGAGATTTCAGGTGAATAGGAAAAGCGTTTGCCCTAGGGCAGTGTAGAAACCGGATACCAAGAGTTGGAGCTCTTTAAGCAGATGGACACATGCTCTGTGGCTGAGGAGCGGGCAATGAAACCTTCACAACTATTTGGAAGTATTTGTGGATCTTCCCAGCTCTGGGCGGGGCTGGCCATTGCCTAGTACTGGGTGTTGCTAGGTGTTAGTCTACATTTATACCTCCAGCCCCATCTTCAGCCTGTGTGGTCTGCTGGACATCCACTACTGTGAGTCACAGAATCATTGGGGCTGATGCTGTGAGTTAAGATTTATCCTGTCTTAATGTTTCATGGCTTTTTCTCCTCTGTTGAAGGAGTCTGTCATCCAGAAGTCACTTCCAGTTGTAAAGTCCTTCCCTTCATGAGTTTCTTTTGAAACGTATTCCTAGATCTGCCAAGGAGGGTTGTTACTAAAAGGGATGTAGGACCAGGAAGGAGCATGTGCTGCCATCTCCTGCATCGTGGTGAGTGGAGAGAGCACAGGGTGAATTAGAGAAGCTGTTTATGGCAGCCCTTGCTTGCAGCAGGGCCTTCCATGCTCAGCTGGGTGGGTGTGAAGTCCTGTCTGCTGGAAGAGGTCTTCTGTAAATCCTAGAGCTGTCCCAGAATTGATCTCTGTGGCTTTGTGGCTGATTTCAACCACCAGCGTGAATGGGAACAGGAGTGGAACTAGTGCGATAATTTTCCGTGCTGGTGGCTGAGTCACTTCCTAGGGTGTCTGTTTTAAATGGGCATGAGTAAGCTGGTGAAAGGACTTTGATCTCCTGGCTTGCTCTCAGTCAGGAGTGTTATGGATGAAGCCTGGAGCAGCGAACTGGGCTTTGAAATAAGCCATCTGAAAAGGGACTGACATTGGAATGGAGTTGATACTGCTTTTTCCAACCTTGCCCTCTTGCCTCTACTGGACATCAGCAGGAGGCCACATTATTTTCTGAGCAGAATTAGAAGCAGCAATAAAATAGACTCCTCTCTTTATTGCTGGGCAGGGGTTGGTTGGTAAGTAGTTCAGGAGGGGATGGATAAGATGGCCCTAGTCTTTGGTGGAGGGTGAGCTGATGTCACCTGTTGGAATGGGCAGGTTAGGAGCCAGCTAGGGCTGCTTGGGGTGATTAGTTGTGGGGGAGCAAGCACCTCTGGCTCCCCTGCCCTTGGAAGCAACTGCAGCTGAAGGAGAGTAACTGAGGCAATTACAGAGGTACACCCAGAACACTTCAGATTTCTCACTGAGATGTGTTTAGACATCTATGTTCGCTCTCATTTTCCATGTACACAGCTCCAGCCTTCCATGATGAGGAGAGCTGCTGTGCAAGGCGATACTGAGAGCAGAACCTGGCTAAAGTGGTGGGATCCTTTCCTAGAAGCATTGTGATGCCTCTATCTTTGGAGATGCTCAAGACTTCTTGTACAGCCCTGGGCACTGTGATCAGCCTTCCAGTCTCATCCTGCTGGCTTTAGATCTAGGCCTTCCCTAACCTGAAACACTTGATGACTGTGGAGTTATCAACTAGTTTTTTCCCACGTTTCCTGCATTTCTCTACTCTTCCTTCCAGCAAGGTCTTTTAGCATCTGAGGCCTCTTATTTCCTGCCACTGAGTGCTGCCCAAGGGCTTGCTAGAACTCTGGGGAAAGGATCTAGCTGGTGACAGAGATTTCTGTTTAAAAGATATTTGTAGTAACAGGACCCTGGCCCTAGCAGAAAGGGAATCACCCACGATGGTCTGAATTTAACTCCTACAGGCATACTGAGAAAAACATCTTTTTACCATATAAACCATTGTTTTAATGTCTATTTTGTGTTATCACCGTATGCATGTTGGAGAATTGCAGCAGTTGCTGCTGTGGTGGTGTACTGGGGTGGAGAGACCTGTGAAAGCCCCTCTAGTAGGAGGAGGAGCCCATTGCAGCAGTGAGATGGTTAGGTGCATGGTCAGAGGGTCTGGAAAAATGTGGCTGCTGTGGAATTGATGCCAAGATAACCCACTGATTGTGCTGTTCAGTTTGCTGTGCAAAGGTAAGCTGGGAAGGGGGAGCTGGCCCGGATGTCCTTTGCGTGGTCCTCTCATCTGCAGCGTTTTAAAGCCAATCACAAGCTGAATGTCTGCTGGGACAGCCCAGCAAATTGTGGAAAAGGTCAGCCTGGCTCAACTCTGGCCAATCTCAGGGGCCCAAAATAGGTGTTAGGTCAGTGCTGGATCCCGTTTCTTCTCTGATCTCTAAAGCTGTGGGTAGGAACTCTCTCCTGTCATGTTTGACGGCACAAATCAAGTGCCCCTGCCCTGGAGTCCTGCTGCATGTGGCCTGGGGTGAGAGTGTTCTGAGTATCAGGAACCAGCAGCTGCGTGTCCTTGCCCCAACAATCAGTCTCAAATCAGTGGAGATCGATTTTCAAGCCAGTGCTAAGGAAGGTGCTGCTGTCTCTGTGCTGCTGAGGAGCATCTCCATGTGCCAGAAGTGCAGCTCTACAGGGTGGGTAGGGGTAACCTGGGGGAGGGAGTGATGCCATCATGGCTCCATATAACCACTTGCTCTCTCCTGCCTTCAACTTGCAGGATTGTCAGAATAGTTTCAGGTGATTAATAATGCACATGTAGTCTAGCTGTTCTTGTTATGCTGCTACTACTACCCTGGACAAACTCTTAGTAGTTTGACAAGTTCTGTCTGTCCCTACCTCGTGTAGGATCTAGAATAAATTGAATGAACTAACTGCTCCTGCCTTCCTGATGGTTTCTCAGGTCTGCCTGGGGCTCCTGTGTCCTTCCGTTGGGTTAAACACTGGATGTGACACTTGGGGACATGGTTTAGTCATAAACATGGCAGTGCTGGGTCAACAGTTGGACTCTATGAACTTAGAAGTCTTTTCCAGCCTAAATGATTCTGTGATTCTAAGCAGCAATGAAGACTGGTGCTGAAAGAGGCCGCTGGAGGTGAGGCAGAAATTGGCCCTGCATATCTTGCACACAAATTAATGTCACAGAGGTGACTCAGAGTATTAACTGGCTTAACCCTTTGCAGCAGCTCTGCAAATCAGCGCTACAGGGTGACTGTGGCTGCAGAGGGAGGGCCCAGAACCTTCCTGGCTATGGTTACTGTAGGTAAGATCAAGGCCCAAGCCTGCATTTCTTCTGCATTGTAGTTCATGGCAGGGCAGGTGGCCATTGCTGCGGTGAGGCACAGTCATGCCTGTTCAATAGGTAACACTGCAGGGATGAACAGCTGTTGGATCTCTCTGCACTGTGCCTTTGGAGCAGGGATGGAGCTGGACTCTGACCTGCCAGGAGAACAGGCAAGCACCAGGGGACCTTTGAGCTCTGCCAGCCTGCTTGTTTCATGATCCTTCAACTCCGCCCTTTGTGCCCAACCTGAAGAAATTAAGGTAGCGTGGGGTGGAGCTGAGTTGCTCTCTGCCATCGCCTTGCTGTGGAATGCAACAAGCAGACATGATGTGAGGTGGCACACCCCATGTTCAGGGCAGGGTGGGGGAGGTGGGGTTGGATGCTTTTGGGTGTAATGGCCTCACTCCTGCTGCCAGGATGCCTCTGCCACCTGAGGTAAAGTTGTTCTGGGCAGGGAAGCCTGTCCTCCTCCCCAGCAGTGCTTGGGGCATCTCCACCTGCTGCAGGCCTGCCCAGGGCAGGGATATAACAGCCAGAAGCTGGCTCTCCCATACCACAATTCCCACTAAACTCTTTTCCCTGTCTATGCTGGAGATGTAGCCCTGTGCCCTGATGCTACAAGACTCCCTCCCTCTCTGCTTGTCGGAATGCAGGCAATGACAGCGATGTTGCAGGCCGAGAGAGAGCAGAGTCCTAAGCCAGGGAAAGGGGATGCCCGTGACCCGGGGTCAGCTCCTGCCGGATACTGAAGTGGGCGTGCCCGAGTCACATCTTGGCAAAGGCGGCCCGGAGCTGAAGACCGGAGCGCCCGCTGCCCGAGAGCGATGAAGAAGCGCTGGGGCGTGCCCGGGGCACGGGCGGAGCGGCGCCTGCCTGACGCGGAGGCGGCAGCTGGGAAGTGAGGGCTGTCCGAGGCGGGGCTGCCCCGGACGGAGGCGGGCACGGCGGCCCCGCCGGAGGCGCCCCGGCCCGGCGGGCATTCCAGGGCGGGCACGGTCGGGGAACGGTCCGGACGGCCCGAGGCGCAGCGTAGCGGCGCGGAGCCGGTGGCCGGAGCGCGATGAGGGCGGGCGGGGAGGCGCCGCACCAGGTGCTGGGCCGGCTGCGGTTCCTGCTGCAGTGCAGCGAGTGCTTCCGCCGCGCCCGGGCGCTGCCCGCCGCGCTCTGCTACGTGCCGCGGGAGGTGCAGTACAAGATCTGCAAGGACCCCTCGGCCGCCGCGGCCGCCGCCGCCCGCAGCCTGCTCAGCGTGTGGGACAGCCCGGGGCCGGCGCGGGGCGGCAAGCGGGCGGCGCGGGCCACGATCGAGGTGCGGAAGGGCGGCTGCCTGCGCGCCACCGGCGAGGAGTACTGCAACGGCGCCGGGCTCTGGGTCAAGCTCAGCAAGGTAACGCGGGTGCGGCACCGGGAACCATCCGGGAATGCCGGGTCCCGACGGCGGTGACAGGACGGGATGTGCCTTCAGGAGCATCTGGAGGAGTACACGGGCACCCGTGGCTTGGCGGAGGGCTGGGTCCTGGCGCAGAGGTTCGGAGAGGGAGGAGATAAATTAGTCCCAGTGGACTCCGTGCAGAGGATCCAGTGTCAGCACCAAACGCTGGGCGTTGATTACAGACCTGCTGTCAGGTATGGCCCCGGGCAGGAACTGGGCGCTGGAGACGCGTGTGACCGGTCCCCACAGAGGACATGCAACCCAACCATCCCAGATTCCTTGGGCACGCCCAGCACAACCCACTCACTCCCTCCAGCGCAGGTGGGACCCATCCCCGCCGAGCACCGGCGGGCAGGTGGATGCTCCCTCGTAGATGAATCCTGTTTGCTTGTGGCAGCGCCTGCACAGAATGATACCAGGGGAGTTCTGAGTCGTTTGCATTTGGGCTGAGCGATGACACAGAGGTAGTGCAGTGATCAGAGAGCTCAAATTTTATTTTCATGATGGAAGGTCACGTGCAGGGCGGGATTCCCCTGCTCCCTCCCAGCCGGTACTCGGGTGCAGGGACACTCATCCTTCCCACAGCTGTTCCTGGGTGTCACCCCCAGTGCCCCACTACTGCTGACTATACTTCAGGCTAAGGCAGTAATGGACACACTGAGCACTGACACATCTTTTCCATTGTGTGACTCCTCCGCCCCTGCTGCTCCAGCTGGGAACAAGTGGTGGACCTGACGTACTCCATGCGCCTTGGAGAGATGCCCAGACTCATAGAGCAGGATGAGGCTGCCGTGCAGAAGTTTCGGTATGAATGCATCTCCTAGAGCAGGACTGCAGCATCCTGAGGGGCTGCTGGCCAGGGCCTGGACATGCCTGCAGGGCCAAGACTGGCTTCAGGGTCTGAAGAGGGGAGGATGAGTGCCATGAGATGCCTGTTACACTGGTACCTCGGCACTGCTCAAGCGAAGATGGCCTTTGCTCCATGGACCATTGGAGTGACTGTGTACTGCTATTCCCACTGGGCTGGAGTGGCCATTAATACCTGGTGTGCTGGTGATGAGATAGAGCCATGCCATCTGTCTGCTGCAGGGACAGTGGCTTGGCACCGTGTCCATTTGATGGCCATGAGACACTGCAGCCAGTCTCAGCTGGTGCTGGGGCTCCTGCACACTGCTGGTGGCCAGGTTTGGGGTGCAGCCTGGTCTCCTCATCTGTTAACACAGAGACTCCCTGCAGGTCCGTGCCCCCAGGCTGGACCTATGAGCACGACATGGAGCTGGGGCGCTTCCTGTACGATCACAGTGAGAAGAAGCTGCAGTGCATGGACTGCACCAAGGAACACATCAACAGCATCGAGGTCTCCTCACACACGGTGCGTGGTGGGGCTCCTCTGCAGCCTAAAATCAGCATAAGACGTGAGCATCGCCACCTGCCCCTGCAAGGGGCAGGGCATGGTGGGGGGTTTTTGCTGCTCTAGCAAAGCTGTTGGGGGCAAAACCCCATTGTGCCTCTGGGGCACCAGGAGTCCACAGCGATGCCCAGTTTGCTATGTCAGGGAACCATCATCCACCCATAGCCTAGCAAATCAAGGGGCTGGCCTGCTCCTGACCTCCTCTGGACCCACAAAACACATCTCAGAGGAGGCCATGGCGTCTCCAAGGATGCTCATCTCCTTCCCTCTGCTCACTGCACTCTTGCAGGAGGATTGTGTTGCAGCCCATCTGACAGACAACCTGACGTACACCTTCTGGGAGAGCAGCGGGCCCCCGGGGCAGCACTGGGTGCGACTCAACATGAAGAAAGGCGCCATTGTCAAGTGAGACCTCGGGGTGTCCCCTGCATGCCAACAACTGTGCCAGGGAAGGGCAGGGTGCAGGGCAAAGCACTGTCTTCCTCCTCAACCCAGCTTTCCCCCAGCTGCAGCTGGGGGTGTGGGGTTGAGGTGGGGGACAGCTGCTGCCAAAGGCACCCCAGGAAGACACAGCTTTGCCCCAGGCTTGGTACAACTCTGGGGGCACCTCTGGACCCAGGCAGCTCATGAGGGGAGGACAATGCTGTTCCTTGCTCTTCTCACCCACAGGAGGCTGTGGCTGATGCTGGATGGGCAGTCCAGCTCCTATGTACCCAGGCGAGTGGCTGTGTATGGGGGAACACCAAGCAGGCTGCAGCACCTGAGAACAGTCCTAATTAACGAGTGAGTAATGAGTGAGGAGCAGCGTGTGCCCAGCTTGTGCCAAACTCCTGAGCTATCTCTGCATCCTGAGCAGATGTTAAGGATGGGACTGGGGCTGGTTCTGAGTGACTTGCCAGTGACAGTGGCTCTCCAAGGGTTGGAACTCCCTGGATGTAGGCTACATCTGCTCCCACAAGTGTGGTGGTCCCTTGCTTCCATGTGCCAGTCAAATGCCTTAATCTCCTCTCCTGCTCCTCACCCATGCTGCAGCAGCTGGTCTGCAGCATGCTTCCTTCTGCCTGGTGACTTTGGTGGTCTTCCTGCCTCTTCCTCCTCACTTCAGAACACACGCCACTGCTGCCACCTTCCTGAGCATCTCTGCCTTGCTGTAGCCAAGAAGTCCTGGGGTGCTTCACCTCTCCATCTTCACCTGAGCCCTGAACACCCTTCTCAAGCCAGGGGCTTACACAGGAGTGCAAAGGTCTCCTTCACCTTCCCCCAAAATGTGCCTGTTTGATGTTTTCTGGCTGAGCAGTGAAATCTGTCTCTGAAGAAGCACCCATGAGACTGCAGAGATGTCTTTTGCAGTGACAGGAGCCAGGTCCTTACTGCATCTGAATGCTTGCAGTGTTTTTTTCCCATGGGCTCACAGGACTTTGATGGGACCTTGACAAGGCATTGAAAATACACTTAGTAAATTTACACAAATCTCTGTTTCTTTCAAAAACACACCACCCTTGCATGACCAACTCTGCTTGAAGGATGGTTCTGCCCTTGTGAGATGTGCTGGGACCCCCCCAAGAACAGTGACATGCTCTCAGCCACCTTGTCTTTCTGTACTGCTTTGAATTTGTGCTCTTTTCTGGCTTTTTGGATGCGGCTTCCACCTTCTCCAGAACGTCTCTGTGCCTCTGACAGCCTCTTCTCTGCTTGGGCACCTCCTGCCACAGCCCTGGTGAGGTGGGGGGGCTTTTGCATGGGTAGAAGCACATCCTTGGCTGGGGAGCCAGAGTGGCCTGTGCCTCGCTGGCCACCTCACCATTGTCTGTGCCTCATGGCTTTTCCATCTCCCTCCGTGCTGTGTGCAGGAACAGCTACCAGAGTGTCTGCATCCTCCGTGACATGAAAACCCACATGCCCGTGCTGGAGATCCGCTTCCTGGAGTGCCGGGGTGAGCCTGTGCACCCAGACTGTGGCTGCCAGCCCAGCCTGGCCCTAAACCCACAGCTAGTCCTGATCCTGCAGCTCTTTCTACCACACTTGCTGCTTTTTGGGATCCACTGGCGGGAAGGTTGAGGAATGAGCTTCATATGAGATGCTGCAGGTGCTGGGGGCACCTCGCCTCTTGTTGCAGCATCCAAGCCATGCTGGCTGCAGGACATGCAGCATCGCTGTTCTTTATTGGCAGACCAAGGGTACAATGTCCGTCTGCAGGGGATTAAGATCGTGTCCTTCTGGGAGTGGGACCTGATCCTGAATTCTGACATGTTCCAGCCAGCCCGGCTGGTTCGCTACCCTCTCCTGGAAGGGGTGGATGCCGACGTGCTGTACCGGCGAGCTGTGCTCATTCAGAGGTACGGCACAGGGATGCCACAATTCCTGCAGTGATCTCAGTCCCAAAATCATCCTGCCTTGACCTGCAGGGCAGCCCCTGGAGGCAGCACTGGCCCAACAGAGACCCTCTGCAGTGATTCAGCTGCAGTGCAGCAGCATAGGCTGGGCAAAATGTTTGCAGCATTTTTTTTGAGGGAAATAAAATAAAGTGCTTGGACAGAGGGTGCTGGGTGGGTGCTCCCCTGGTGTCTGATGTCCCTCGATGGGCTGGAGGGGACCCATGTGCAGGGAGCACAGTCCCCTGGGGTTGTGGTGAAATGCTGCTCTCCTGCAGCCTCACACTGCTTCTCTCCTGTCTCCAGATTTGTCCAGCTCCTGGAAAGTGTCCTGTGTTACCTGATCCCCCTCTCCGAGGACAGCATCGGCACCTTCAATGCACTCAGGGTGAGCATGTGCCAGGCTTCCCTGTGATGGTGCCAGTAGTGGTATCTCCTCACAAGTTCAGGTTTTCTGGGGGCTGTAGTGTTTCCTCCTTATCTAGTGCGAACAGACCAGCTCAGGGCTGAGAGCTGCCATGTTTGACATGGCCTGAGGGATGGAAGAGCATCCCCTGTGACACCAGGGCTGACTTGAGGAGAGGAAAAGACAGCAGGTGGTGGCAGGATCAGACCTCTAATCATCCCTGCTTGTCCCTTGCTAGAGCATGAAGCCATTCCTGCTGCTGTCCAAGCAGAGTGAAGCCCTCATTGCCCATTGTCTGCAGTCCTCAGAGAGCTCTGCTCCTCACACCCTGCCAAAGCTCTACATCAACAGGCTCCTGGCCCGGGAGCACCGTGCCAACCCCGCGCTGGACCCCAGCTGTAGGAATGCCGTCTTCACCCAGGTATGGCAGCACCATGCCCTGTGCCAGGTACCTGTCACTTCAGCAGGTATCTTGCCCCCATCTCATCCCCTTTCTGCTCTACTACTCTCCAGCTGTATGAAGGCCTCAGATCTTCCAAGAACAATCAGCCCCTGGACTACAGGTAGGTCTTCAGTGTCATATTTGTGGAGTGTCACTTCCCCAGAGCAGGGTGCAAGGGGATTCCAGGTGCTGCTGGTATGCTCAGAGGAGGGATGTACATGGGGCTGTTGCTTCCCCACAGGTGGCCCCTGACCCACAGCCAGTGGTGGGAGTGCGATTTCATCACTGAGGGCATCATTGATAATGGTGAGAGCTCTCCCCTGGTGTCTCATGTGTTGGGGTGCAGCTCATTGGGTGCCCACGCTGGGAGAGGCAGCCCTGCTCTGCAAACATGAGATCGTTCCTGTATCTCCCCTACCCCACCAGTGGTGCTGCTGCTGCCCCAGGGAGTGGGGCAGCTTGGCCAGATCCTGTGGCTCAGTGTCTGGCCCTGGTGTATCAGGCACTAACCATCCTCTGCCCCCGCTGCAGGTGGTGGCTTTCGGGACAGCCTGTCAGATGTGTCAGAGGAACTGTGTCCCAGCTCCAGCGATGTGCCCGTGCCCCTGCCGTTCTTTGTGCGCACCTCCAATCAGGTTTGGCATCCCACAGTCTGCCTGTCCAGGTCAGGGGACTCAGCCAGCAGAGCCAGGGGTGTTAGCTCTATCTTCATGCTTGCAGGGCTATTGGCTGGGGGAGCTGTGCTTGTACCTGGGTGTTGGAGATCTCCTGGAGGGCTGTAAAGGGCAGGAGAGGCAGGTGGAGGGGTGAATGTGGGGGAGGCTGCAGGAGGGACCATGCTGGGCTCGTCACATCTCTGTGCCTTAAGAGTCTCTCGCACAGGCTAACAGCAGCAGTGACAGCAGGGACATGTATGTCCCCAACCCCTCCTGCAAGGACTTCCCCAAGTATGAGTGGATCGGGCAGTTGATGGGAGCAGCCCTGAGGAGCAAGGAGTTTCTGGTGAGCACAGCAGAACCTTCCTGGCCAGTGAGGGGGCTTGGCAGGGGCCACATTGTCTTGGGCAGAGGGGCTGCCCATGGGTGAAGAAGAGGCAGGAGGAGAATGCGTGTGTCCACTCCTTTTGGCAGATCCTGTCTTTGCCGGCACTGGTGTGGAAGCAGCTGGCAGGGGAGGAGGTCAGCTGGAGCAAGGACTTTGCCACTGTGGACTCAGAGCTGGTGAGCAGGGCTGGGTGCTGGCAGGGCAGTGCTGTGCTGTCTCGTGGCTGCTCTGGCTCCACTGTGGTGGCTACTGCTCATTTGGATTGCAGGTGAAGCGGCTGGAGGTGCTGGAGAGGGTGGACAAGGAAGGCTTTGAGTTCATGTTTGGCAGAGAGTTGACCTACACAACAGTGCTGAGTGACCAGCGCATGGTGGAGCTGATCCCCAACGGCAGCAACACCGCTGTGCGCTACGAGGACCGCAAGGAGTTCATCCGCCTGGTGCAAAAGGCTCGGCTGGAGGAGAGCAAGGAGCAGGTGACACTGTCCCCCAGGGCTGACAGGGCTGCAAGGGTACCCTGCTCCTGTGGCAAGACGTCCTGGTACTTGTGGGACTGGTGGTTGCCAGCTCCATCTGGGTGTTTCTTTGTGCATCCCATGCCCAGGATGTCCATGTGTCCTGGTGATCCCTCTTGGGGTCCTGTGGTTGCTGTCCCCAGAGCCCTAGGTGGCTGCCTGGGGCTCAGACCCACTGTGGTGACATGGAGCCTGTCCTGTGTCCCATAGATTGCAGCCATACGTGCTGGGCTGCTCCGTGTGGTGCCCCAGCCCGTGCTGGACCTGCTCACCTGGCAGCAGATGGAGAAGAGGATCTGCGGGGACCCGGAGATCACAGCAGCTGAGCTACAGAAGTTCAGTGAGTCACAGGGCCAGCCCAGAGCTGCTCCCTGCCCTCCACAAGGGCAGGGGATCCCCTTGATAATGCTTGTCATGCACATGCATCCTGGTCATGGGGTGTCTGAGAGCCTGGGGGAGGATAAGCTAGAGGGTCCCTGGATGCTTCAGGTTTAGCAGCAAACCCCACTCTGGTCCATCTGGTCCTTATCCTTATCAGAGGGGAATGGCCACTCTGAAAACTAGGACCTCTGTTTCTCCACCCACCATGACACAAGGTGCTGGTCCCACTCAGGGGTGCCAGGGCTCACCGAGGAGCACAGTGTCTCCTCCTTTCCTTTGCTTTGCTGGGAGTTTCTAATTAAGCCATTTCACATTCTTTGTTGCAGTCAAGTTTGATGACTTCCCCTCTGATGATACCCGTATCCAGTATTTCTTGGAGGCACTCAACAACTTCACCAGTGGTGAGTGACCCCAAACCTTTACCTGCTCTTCTTGTGCAGTAGGACAGGCTAGGGTATGGGGTACCCACTGTCCTGTGCCCCAGGGGTGCTCACCAGATGCTTTCCTGGGAAGCGGCTGGGGTCATCCCACCCGGCCCTTCTTGGGATTCTGAGAGGATCCCTTAGCTTTGCCCCATGCTCCTGGGGTGGTTGTGCAACGCAGATCTTGCTGGGACAGTCCTGTCCCTGAGACCTGAGTCCTGTCCTTCCTCTCAGAGGATCTTAGCCGATTCCTCAAGTTCGTCACCGGCCGGAGCCGCCTCCCAGTTCAGATCAGTGTCTACCCGGAAAGGTCGAAGTGAGTCCATCCTGCCTGGGGTCCCTGTGCCATGCTGGGGTCCCCACATGATATCAGGTTGCCGTGCTGGGGTCTGACTCTCCTTTCTCCCAAGCTTGGATGCGTTGGACTTGATGCCACAGGCCTGCACGTGCTCCTGCACCTTCTTCTTGCCCAACTATTCCTCGTAAGTTGAGCTGGGGCTAGGGATGCTCCCCACTCCCTGGGGCTGGTGCTGGGGTTCCCATCAAGACTCCCCAGGCCTTCCCCAAGGGATGTCCAGGCAGGTGTGGGGAGGGAAGCCTGAGGTTTTCTGTGGCCATCATGGCTGTGACCTGGTGTTCCTCCTGCCAGGGCCAAGGTCTGCGAGGAGCTGCTGCGCTACGCCGTGTACAATTGCATGTCCATCGACACCGACAAGAACCCCTGGGATGAATGACACCCCCGTGTGCCCCACGCCAGGGGAGCCTCGGGGACACTGGATTCAATAAAACTGCAGGGCCAGATCCTGCTGTCCTGCCCCAGGTGCTGTTTGTGTCTGTGCTTCTCGAGGTCAGGGGCTGCAGCTGGAAGGGTCAGCACGGCATGGCCGCTGGGTGCTGCCCACACAGGCTCCTGCGGGGTGCAGAGCGTGCCATGTGGGGGCAGGGAGCACTGCGAGTCCCGTCCCTTCTCTGGCCGTGGTGTGGGGAGCACAGCTGCAAACTGACCCCCGGTGTCCCCAGTACCCCCCACGCAGAGCCCCCATTGCCCCCCAGTGTCCCCAGTACAGAGCCCCCAGTACCCCCCACGCAGAGCCTCCATTGCTCCCCAGTACCCCCCACACAGAGCCCCCAGTGTCCCCACACAGAGCCCCCAGTGTCTCCGGTACCCCCAAACAGAGCCCCCAGTGTCCCCACACAGAGTCCCCGGTGTCCCCGGTACCCCCACACAGAGTCCCCGGTGTCCCCGGTACCCCCACACAGAGTCCCCGGTGTCCCCCCCCAGCCCCCGCTGTCCCTCCATTACCTCTTTCCGGCCGCCTGGGGGCGCTGTTCCGCCGAGCGCCCCCCGCCGCTGGGCCGGGATCCATGACTCGGTGCTCGGCAGAGCGGGGTCTCTTCGCTCGGCGTTCCTCTCGCCGTCCTGGCTGGGTGGAGGCCGCCCGCAGCCCACCAGGGAAGCGGATCGATTCTATCGGCGCTCGCCCGCGATCGACGCTCTCGGCTGCCCGCGCGCAGGCGCAGCGCGGCCGCGCCGCCATTGCTGCGCTGTCAGTGCCGGGAGCGGTCGCAGGGAGCGGAGCCGTGAGCCGGCCTTGTCTCAGCTGTCCCGGTGAGGCCCTGCCTCTCTGTGTCACTCCGCCACACGATGGAGTTCCAGGCCGTGGTGATGGCGGCCGGAGGCGGCTCCCGCATGACGGACCTGACCTCCAGCATCCCGAAGCCGCTGCTCCCGGTGGGAAACCGGCCCCTGCTCTGGTACCCGCTGAACCTGCTGGAGCGCGCCGGCTTCGAAGGTGAGGCACGGCGGGCTCTGGGCGTGCTGACCCTGGTGACCGCGGGCTCCCCCTGGTCACTACGGGCTGTCCCCGGTCACCGCCGCCGCTCCCGCCCGTTCTGCCGCCGTTGTAACGCCGTGCCGCAGGTGCCCTGTTGGCCGGGGCAGGTGCTGTGGCGCAGCTCCCCCGTGCGCTGGAGCTGTGCTGTTGGCCCGTGTCACATCCCTTCCTGCCCTCTCGGCTGCGCTCTCTGTGCCTGCGCCCCTCTTCTCAGCGGGTGTCTGAAAGGAGGTTGTAGAGAGGTGTGTGTCGGTCTTTGCTCCCACGAGAGGAAATGGTCTCAAGTTGTACCAGGGGAGGTTTAGATTGGATATTACGAAAGTCTTTTTCACTGAAGGGGTTTTAAAGCATTGGAAGAGATTTCCCAGAGAAGTGGTGGTGTCACCGTCCCTGGAAGTGTTCAGAAACCATGAGGATATGACACTATGGTTTAGTGGTGAACATGGTGGTGGTGCTGGTTGGTTGGACTTGATGATCTTCATGATCTTTTCCAATATTGCAGCGATTCTGTGACTCGAGGCCTTTCCCAGCTTTGATGTCGTTCCCTGGGTCACTAACCCGACTCTCCCGTGTTTCCTTCTCAGAGTCATTAATGGCAGCAGCGTGAGACGTGCCAGCTCTCCGGGGATGGCTGGTGGTTTGTTGTTTCAGCCTGGCCCAAGCTCAGGGCTGCTGGCTCTGTCTGAGTGCTCAGTCCGTGTGGCTGCAGAGCTGAGCACCCTGCTCGCCCAGCAGGGCAGGGGCAATGGCAGGTGCTGCTCACCTGTGCCTTTGTTTCACACCAAGACTAAGGTGCTATTTAGTACCTGGTGAGCTTCCTCAGTATCTTCTAAGGTTAGGCTTTTGTTCACCTTTTGAGTGCTGGACCAAATCTTTCTGTGGCGTCCCCCCAACTTCTTACAAAGGTTCTTCCTGACACCTTTCAAGCATCTGGGCTTTTTGTGTTTGTTTTTTGTGTTTCTTCTCTGTTTTGTCTCTGTGATTATTCTGTACTTCATCCTGAGTCTGTGGCTTTCTTCCTGACTGTTTCTATCTTCTGTAAAGATGATTATCCATGAGCTCATGATTATCCATGTTAGTCTCTTACTATTTCAGTGGGAGGGAACAAAACTAAGAGCAGACTTTGCCTTTATTCTGTTTCATTAGAAAATCCTAAAGAACTTATGTTCTTTGGATTTGTTTTTTGTTTGTTGAAATCTGCATTCTGATTGTCTGCCTTCTGTCTGCCTTTTTTTTGTTTGTTTGTTTTTGTTTTCTTTTTTTTTTTTTTTAGTAGCTGCCCCTCTGCACAGCCCTGGTGAGGCACATCTGGAGTGCTGTGTCCAGTCCTGGGCTTCTCAGGACAGGAAGGACATGGAGCTCCTGGAGCAGGTCCAGTGGAGAGCAACAGAGATGGTGAAGGGTCTGGAGCACCTCCCTTATGAGGAAATGCTGAGGGAGCTGGTCTGTTCAGCCTCGAGACAACTGAGAGGGAACCTCATCAATGTCTCTCAGTCTCTGAAAGGAGGTGTCAGAGGATGGACCAGGCTGTGCTCAGTGGTGCCAAGCAATGGTACAAGAGGAAACAGGCAGAAACTGATTCCCAGGAAGTTCCCTCTGAATAGAAGGAAGAACTTTACTGTGCAGGTGACCGAGCACTGGGACAGGCTGTCCAGAGAGGATTTGGGATATCCCTCACTGGGGATGTCCCAGAGCCATCTGGACACAATCCTGTGCAATGTGATTTGAGACGAGGCTGCTTGAGCAGGGAGGTGCAGATGACCCAGTGTGGTCCCTTCCAGCCTGAACCATGCTGTGACTCTGTGATAGTGCTGCAGTCAGACCTTTCTCCTTTCTCACACGTAGTGCTGCAGCTTATCTGTCTCCAGTGAGAATGTGGACGTGCAGGGTTGTACTCAGTAAATGTATTCAGCTCCAGTAAGCAAACTGCCACCTTCCTGCTCCTTCTGTGCTTCACACCCGTGACCAAGCTGTACATCCCTGCATTAAATGATCCACTGGCATGAATTCTCTCCCTGGATGATTAGTTCCTCATACTTGCTTATGTAAGTAAGTAGGTGTTCCATGGGCTGACTCACTGTCTCTTTTGCCCTAATTGCAAGTGCTTCATCTCCTAATATTTAGGAGGCCTTTGCCCAGCTCACCAGGTTTATGCTGAACTGCGTGAGCTTAGAACTTGCACCTGACACCAGTTCCCTCTTCATCAGTTAATTCTTTGCCTAATTCAAGGTGTGCTTTCAGTCCTTTGCTCTAGGTTCTTCAGCCTCTTTTGAATCCACACTGGCATCCAGTATGGGAGTGGAAGAGCAGCCATGTCCCTGGCACCAAAATGCCACACAATTCCCATGTTTACAGTTCCTTCCTCTTTTCTTTTCATAGGTTCAAGATGAGTTGAGTTTTGATTGATGCAGATTTATTCCTGATGTTTTCATCTTGCCTATACTATTATTATCATTATTATTTCTTATTTCCTATAATTCTCTGTTAAAATTCCATGTGGAATACAATATTATAGTGTTGAGGTATTTTGAGGGGATATTTTAACTGGAAAATTTGATTGTTGCTTTTCCTTCCCATTCCTAAGACTGGAGGAGAAGGTTTCTTGTCGTCTTGTTTCCTCAGTCTTTTCTTTGCAGAGCTTCTGTTCTCACATTCTTCATTTTGGAAAATACGCTTTCATGCCAGTGTTGATTTCCTTCAAATATGTATTTATCCTTTTTCTTTTGTAGATGGAATGAGTCTGTTGCTCATATATTGCTGCACTTTCTTGCCAAGCTGATGCTGAGAAATAGTTTAACCATTGTATTGTAATAGTGTGGTTGGTGTTGTCCACAGAGGATTACACAGGATCGGGGCAGCAAAAGACAGAGCTCTGAAGTGTTGGTGACATGAACACGGGGTCCCATTGCTCTGTTTGAGGACATACGGTTTGAGGCTGCTGGTTAATGATGGAAGTGTCTGTTCTATCTTGCTAACTCATGCCACACATGCATGTGTCCCTTTCAGTAACAACCTCCACCCAGCAAAGCAGGGGAGATTGTTTTCACATTCATTAGAGTTCAATTCTTTTCTTGAAAAGTTACTGTTGCCAAAAGAGCTTGACTGGGTGGAGAACCCAGTTATGTTACTCAAGCCTTTTGACAGTTCCATCTGCCTTTCTAAATAACAAAGTGGGTGTATCCTATTTGTGATAAATATTATTTAGATTTATTTTCTGCTTCATCTCATCTCTCTCTCCTTTGTCCTAGAGGTCATTGTGATTACAAGGAAGGAAATCCAGAAGATGCTAAACCTGGACACAAAAATGAAGCTTGATTTTGTGTGCATCAGTGACAACATGGACATGGGTACAGCAGATTCACTGAGGCATATTCACCAGAAAATTAAGGTATTACTGTCTTTTATTGAACTTAAATGGAAGTTTGTTTGTTTATAATTTTTTTTGTTGTGTTGTAAGGAGTTCCTGTGTTGTGATACTGTGCATAACTGAATTTCCTGGTCTTCAAAAGAGCTGAATTTTGTAAAGGCCACCTCACAAGGGAACTCGCACAAAGACTCTGAACGATTGCAATTGGGAAGGCTGGAGCCTGTTCAGGCTGGGCTCTGGCTGCTTCTTGGTCAGTGTTAGCTTTCTGGAGAGGTAATTAAAAGGTTGTATTTGCTTCTATGATTTTTTGATACAGTGTGTGATAGTTGTTGTCCGTCTACCTGGTGCTTGGGGGAGTAGCTCTGCACAAACATTCTTTGCTGTCTAAGGCAATGCAGTGATGCTCCAGAGAGTTTGGGTTCGCTGCTGGCCGTGACACAGGCGTGCCTGCGCTCTTGGGTCAGTGACTTGTGCTGGGCTTCAGTTTTCTGCTTTTCCTCTGCTTTTGTTCCCTTGGTCTTACAGTAAGCTCTTCAGTAAACAGTGCTCAGATGTGATAAAGGGCTGCTGTTCAAATAAAACCAGCAGTTTATAGAATTTTAATTTCCAGCTGCATA